ATCTTCTTCTCTGCGCTTCTAGCTGTGATTTCAAAGGGCACTTTGGAGGGTGGCATCGTTGGTCTTTCTGTCTCCTCTGCCCTCAACGTGAGTTAATGAAAGCTTTTTCTTATTCCAGGGCAGGGCTGTTTCTGGGAGCTCTGGGTTGGCTGCAGGATTCTGCCCTGCCTCCAGCTCTCATCCATGAAGAGGGGATTAGCTGGGGTGTCCCATCACCTGGGGAGCTGCTATGGAGCCGGGGCAGCATACATCCTAGTGTGAGGGGAATAAATGTTGCTGTGGGGAGGAGCATGTTTGCACTGTGCATCAGAGATACTACAGCAAAGCTTTTAAAGGGCTGGGGAGAGGGGGCTGTGGCTGGAGAGTAGAGACTTAAAGGCTAGGCCAGGAGTGCTCATGCCCATGAGTCCCTGAGCTGAGGTGGGAGGTAGTAATTCCTGGGTGCCACTGAGCTCTGCATCCTCTGGGCTCTGCCACACAGGTAACCCAGACACTGAACTGGCTGGTGCGGACGTCTTCAGAGCTGGAGACCAACATTGTGGCCTTGGAGCGGGTTCATGAGTACACGAAGGTGAAGAATGAGGTGAGAAGACCAGGGTCCAGGCAAACACCTGCTGGACAGCTTGGTACTAGCCAGCATCACAAGGTGCAAGCCCCTAATGCTCCTGTGCCCCCAGGCTCCATGGGTGACAGCAAAGCGTCCACCTCATGGCTGGCCCAGCAAAGGTGAGATCAAATTTGTGGACTACAAAGTTCGATACCGACCTGAACTGGAGTTGGTGCTTCAGGGAATCACCTGCGATATTTGGAGCACTGAGAAGGTGAGGACCTCTCTGCCTCGGCCCTTATTACAGCCTTTCTGTAGTGATACAGTGTTAAAAGTTGTTTCTGTTCTCTTAGCTTTTGTCTAGGGCTGGGGAGGAATGGTGATGGGATGTGGCTCCTGGGGACTTGAGCTGTGGGGTAGTGACCAAAGGAGACAGTCTGGGAAAGGGTGATTACAGATGCAGGGCAGGAAGGCCCACCAGACCCAGACAGAGAGCATTTGCCCTGTTTTCTTCAACCCTGTTGGCTGGTCTAAGTAGCTGCTTCCACAGGTTGGGGTTGTGGGCCGGACTGGGGCTGGAAAATCCTCCCTCACCAACTGCCTCTTCCGGGTGCTGGAGGCTGCTGGAGGGAAGATCCTCATTGATGAGGTGGATATAGCGACAATCGGCCTCCATGACCTGCGTAAGAGCCTCACTATCATCCCCCAGGTGAGCACATCCCCACCTTTCCATGTCCCACTGCTGCCTGGCCTCTGCAGGCTCTTTTCCCTGGGCTACACGTCACCCTGAGAGCACCCATGGGAGCTGTGACCACTGGCACCTCACCTGCCCAGCTGCCGCCAGCAGGGTGGGCAGGATGTAGCCAAACCTGGGGGCCTGGAGCCATCACCTCTGCTGAGCGGCCATGGTGTGGCTGAGCACCGTGCTGTCCCTTGCAGGACCCTGTGCTCTTCACCGGAACCCTGCGGATGAACCTGGACCCCTTTGACCATTACACAGACGAGGAGATATGGAAGGCTCTCGAGCTGGCCCACCTGAAGACATATGTGCAAGCCCTTCCCGAGGGGCTGCTGCATCTTGTGAGCGAGGGAGGGGAGAACCTGAGGTGAGTGAGGGGAGGCAGACCCAGCTCCCCTCCCTTCCCCTGGTCCCAGGGAACAGCCTGGAACAGCAGCCTCCAGCAGAGTGGCTGCTCAGGGCACAGAAGCTTCTGGGAGTGAAGGTGGGAGAAAGAGGTCCAGGAGTCGTGGCTGTAAGGGAGACAGTGTGAATGAACCTTCCATGATGGCAGAGAGAGCAAGATGCTGAGGGACGTGGTGCTCAGGGTGTCAGATGATCAGAGGGGCAAGGCCAGGAAGGGCTGGGTGGGCATGGTGCTGGGCTCAGTGCAGTGTGGCAGTAGGCTTGCAGGAGACATGCTGGTGTCTGCACAGTAACTGCTGTTCTCCACCTCACCCCAGTGTTGGGCAGCGGCAGCTCGTGTGCCTGGCCAGGGCCCTTCTCCGCAAAGCCAAGATCCTCATCCTTGACGAAGCAACAGCAGCTGTAGATCTGGAGACTGATCACTTAATCCAGACAACAATTCGCAGCGAGTTTGCGGACTGCACTGTCCTTACCATCGCCCACCGCCTCCACACCATCATGGACAGCAACAGGTACTGTGGGGCAAGGGGAGTGGGGCTCTGGGCTGCTAGGATGGGGCGAGAGGTGGCCAGCAGCAGAGGCAAGGGTGCACCCAGAGGGGCAGGGTTGGGTGCAGTGCCTGGGAGTTTTCAGGGGAGTAGAATAGAGGGGTGGGAAGGATGACCATGTGGTAGTGGGGAGGAACATTTTATGGGATCCTTGCTTACAGCAACCAGGCCATAGATGAATTGTTCAAACTTTATGTGTGCCACCCCACCAGCATGTCGGGGAGAGCTCTGCCCTCACCTCTGTGCTGAGAGGTGAACTGCATAGTGTGGCTCTAGGAGGAGTAAAGGTCCATGGGGCTGTAGTGCTGGTGCTGGTGGTATTGGCTTGGAAGTGAACTTGGGCCTTCTTCCCTGCTTCCAGGGTGATGGTCCTGCAGGCCGGGAGGATTGTGGAGTATGACAGTCCAGAGGAGTTGCTCAAGAAGCAGGGCATCTTCTCCGCAATGGCAAAGGACGCTGGCATCACTAATGCAGAAACCACCATGCTATAGGGGAGCAGAGCAGCATGCAGGTGTGTGCATGGGCAGCTCCCTCCAGCTGGCATTCACCACGCAGGCTCTGGTGTCTCCCTGCAGCCAGGCTGCCCAAGAATTTGTCTCTCTGCAGCTGGGAAGTGGAGAGGGTGGTTTCTCTGGCTGCCAGGGAGAGAATATCTGGACTTGAAGATGTTAATCTTGCTACCACACCCTGCCTGCTGTGCACACAAGGGTCTGGAGCTGCATTAATTTATTCCAGTACAGAGGGGAAAATGTATCTGTCAGGCAGGGACACCATGGTCCCATGGGGGGTGTGTGTGTATTAGTTTTTGTACTTCACCATGCCAGGGAAACCTGAGCAATGCTATAGCACTATGGAATGAAATTAAGTTTAATATAAAACCGAATTTTATAATTTATTTTTTTAAACTGTTTCTAGCCTTCCAACTAAAAGTTTGACTTTAAGGCATACTAAATGAGCCTTGGTTTACCTTTAAACCTGGCGAGTGTTTGGGGGAAGTTGGTGACACAGGTAATACAGACATAGATGGGCAGGGAGTCTAAACTGAGTGACACAGCTATACTCAAGTATGAACACCACTCTAGCAGTGGAGGTGGAGAAGACAGGGCCTGCCTGCCTTTCTGTGGCTACAGCTCCCTTTGATCATAGTGCAAATAAATGAGGCAGTCCTTGGGGCTATCATAACCACTAGTAGGGCAGATTTTGGGCTGTGACTCTAGTCTACAAATCTGACTGGGGTGGAGATAAGCTGGAGAGGTGCAGCTACATGCGTGTGCTACACTGATGTGCTCACATGTAACTCACACAAAACCTGGTCGTTACTGGCGACAAACTCTTGATCTTCCTTTGTTCTTGGGCATGAAAGCCAGGAGCTGTTGTGCTGACGTTGGCTGCAGGCCTGCCCAAGTGCACACAGAGGCAGGGGGGACAGAAGCCACCCACAGCCCCAGCCAGGTCACATAACAGACATCTGGGTGAGGGAGGAGGACAGCACAATCACTTCATCTTAATGAAGAACCTTCCTGTGAAGGTTTCCTAGTGCCTGAGCTGCAGCTGGCACAAACACCAAGGCAGAAGTAATGCTGGACCCCACCATAAGGTTATTCCTAGTCTGTGGGGTCTGCACGAAGCCTGGGTTTTGCCCCTCATCACCATACCTGCCACCAGGCCAGCACTGGCCAGGCACTCCTTCCAGGTCTCCCAACACCTGCACAGGCACCTCCTATACACAAGAGCAAGTCTTTATTTACAGAGCAGCAGTACAGGGGCTACAAACATCGCCCAAAGAGAGGGGAGCGTCCCCTTCCTTCAGGGCACAGCAGCACAGGGCAAGACACACCACCCCAGCAAAGGGCACCCCACATCCCTCTCAGGGAGGCCCTTGCCCTCCCAGAATGCCAGCACTATCTCCGATGCCCTGCAGGGAAGCACAGGTGAGGCAATCCTAGTCAGATCCCCCAAAAAATCAGGCTAGAGGAGAGCCTATGCTTTCTTTGCCTTCTGCCCTGCCCCAGCCTAGAGCAGCCAATTGGGCATGTCAGCACAAAGAAGGGTCTTAGGCACTGGAGATACTGCACTGACAAGGGAAGATGGTGTTCTGGGCCTCTGCCTCACCTGGAAGATGAGAACCTGATGGCTGCTGCTAGCAGCAGAGCTTGGAGAGGCTGGAGCCTGTGGGAGACCAAGCATGGCAATGAAGCACCTGCTGTATGGAGGCCCTGCTGTGAGGGCTTTCAAAGGCTGGGATCAGTCCAGCCCCGGAGCTCTGCTACTCCCCAGTGACCCTCAAGGCAGTGTGTAGATGTCCCACCCTGAGATCCTGCACAGACAGGAAAGACTAGGCTCCTGCTGCTGAGAAGGCACAGGGAATATGTTCACAGGGCCCAGGTTGTTTTTAGCCAACACTACTTGGCTAAAGATGGACTCCAGAAACTCAGCATCAGCCTTTCACAGTTTATCCCTCAGTCTTGGTTGAGCCTGGGCCATGGCTCCAAGCTTTGCTCCACTGCTCCTGGCTGGACTAGGAGGCTCAATTAGCACAGGTGAACTCACCTCTGCCCTCACACAAGCTGCCTGTTTCTGCCTGATTTGCCAGCCCTCCTGTCCTCCTCCCAAAGGCAGCCAATGGTGGTGGGGCCCAGGAGTGCTGCAAGGAACGTTGCCTCAGGGCAATCAGTGGGGCTGCAGTGCAGACCAGCCTCCCCCAGGCCCCTGGCAGTCCCTGCAGGAACAAGGCACAGGGTTCAGGCTCCTTCCCACCACCTCACGTATACTCTGTCTTCCGGATGTAACTGGAGGGCACATAGCCCTGCTTCCCATGTGCCTCAGCCAGCCACCATTCCCGATTGCCTGTGATGTCCTCAAACTGCAGGATCCTCAGTCTTTGGTTAGCGGACACACTCAGCTCGTTGGTGTTTCGGCCTTTGAAGGTGTAGAGAGCGTAGTAGACCTGCCAGGCAGAGAGAAAGAGGGAGAGCATCATTTGGATGGTCACACCACACACCCTTGCTGTCATGTTGCACAGGACATATGCAGTGCTTCACAGAAAACCAAGGTACAGGCCTGGGCTTTTGCCCCTTTTCTGCAAACAGTGACAGCCCCATCCTGGCCTCTGCCAGAGCTGCCCTCACATGCAATCTAGTTCTCTGTATCTGCATCTCTGCTGCTGGGAGAGCAGGTCTCACCCTCCATCTCAGCTCTTTGGGACAGAGCAGCCTCCACCTCCCACCTCTCCCTGGTTGCTGCCTCAAGTGACAGGGTCAGCCCTCAGCATCCTCATCCCCTGGGTGACTGACTGCTCACCTGGTTGCCTTCTGACTCGCTGCTCTCCAGCCCAGAGTCTCTGTCCTCCACTGAGGGCGCTGGCCGGAGGTGTGCTTTGGTGGGATGCCCATTGCGAGAGTTGGGGCTGCAGCCCAGCTCAGGGCGGCTGTAGTGGCGCTGAGATGTCACCGTACCAGCCTCCAGTGGGGCTGTCCTGTCACCAGAGCCAAGCTGGGGCAGAGAGGGGGAATCCATCTCTGAGGAGGGCTGTGGGGAGTGGTATGGGTCTGTCGGGGAGGCTGAGTCCTGCAGGGGTTTCTGAGTGAAGGTGACAGCTGCCCCACTAGGGCTGAAGGTCAGTGTGGTATTGCTGTGAGGAGAGGAGCTGCTGTGCTCTGACTCGTTGGAAGAGTGGCTGCCCACAGAGACGTCCGACTGGCTGCGGCGCGGGTTGTAGGGCTTCAGAAAGGAGCTGTACACAAAGCCCTTGGTCACTGCAGGGTGGGAGAGGAAGAGAGCTCAAATTAGGGTGCAGGGGAACTAGAGGAGCTGCAAGAGGAGCTGAGGGCAGGGAGCAGCCACGTACCCCCATTGTCTATGAGCCAGCGATTCTGGCTGCCCATGGGGTCCTTCCTCTTGATGACGCCCACAACATCTCCTTCCAGCAGTGAGACATCCAGGTCTTGGGCAGCATTGAAATTGCGATCTGCCTGGAAGAGACTGTCTGGGGGATAGCGGGCCAGGAGGGTAGCTCGGATGTCATCTGACTGCAGGAAGTAGCTGGGCTACAGAGGAACAAGACAGGTGTGAGTGGTTCTCCCAGGCTCTGCAAGCCCTGACATGGGGAAAGGGAACTCACCAAGCCAACAAGGGGCTGTCGCCGGGCAGACTGCCGCTCCACACTCTTCCTTTCAAAAGTCTTCTTGGGAGCTGCCTGGGACTCTGGGAAGAAGGTGAAGGCTTGGAGCTGCTGGAGGACTCTACTGTGCTCATCCTGGAAGATGGCAATGAGGTTCCCCTCCCTGCCGGACACCTTCAGCAACTGGAAACAGAGCAGGGTTGGGGGTCATGGTTAGGTGACAGCTCTTGGGAAAAGTGGCCAAGAGCTACAGCAGAGCCCATGCCAGCTGCTGGGCCAGGTGAGGCTCTGAGCCCTGCCTTTCAATAGGTCCAGATTTTCAGTCCTGCTTGTACACAGCACTAGGTGATCCCCAAACCACCCGAGGTCCTTGCAGGACAATGCCCTCCTGCCACTGTTTCAGGAGTAGCCAGAGGCTTCACCATCTGTATCCACAATTGCATCATGACTCCACAATCTCTGCCCTGAGAGCATCTCATGGAAGCTGACACTAGCAGCAGCTTCCTCTGCAATGGGATGCATCCCAGAGAGGCTCAGGGACAAGCCCTATGCAGAGATCAGCACTGCAATGAGCCCAGAGTGTTGGGCTGTGCTCTGGGAACCCACCGACAAGAGAGGCCTCAGCTCCTCCAGGGCCAGGCGCACGAAGTCGCAGTGCGCCTCGGCGTAGCCCCGCAGGCAGCTGGCAAACAGCTCCTTGGCAAAGCGCAGGAACTGGGGCAGCTCGTCCAGCAGCTGGGCGTTGAGAGCCTCGTAGTTGTTGCGGGCTGACTGCAGCTCCTCCAGCGTCCGCTTGTCCTTCAGCTTCTCCGCGCGCTCTGTGCAGTTGTGGAAGTCGAGGAGCTTGTCGAAGCGCTTCTGCACCAGCTTGTGGGGCCCCGCAAACATGCTCAGCAGCTGGTTCAGGGGTGAGCTCACCAGCCGCTCTGTCCGCTCTTTCTGGTGGGCAGAGACACAGAGAGCAGGTGAGATGAGCTGCCCGCTCCCACCACGCAGCAACCACCAGCAGCTCACCCTCCAGCACACAACCTCCCCAGCACAGCACAGGCTCAGTCTTCCTGATGACACCCAGCAGAGCTCCAGAAGTCCCGTCCAACAGGAATCGTGATATAATCTTACATAAACATGCCAGGATGGGCAATGCTACAGGAAGCACCTGAACCACTTACATAAAGAACTGTAACACTTCAGGTAGGGCTGCAAAAATATGTATCTAACAGGCACACTCAATTCACATCATAAATGCACAGGCACCAATGTTCTCAGGGGGGAAGAGGCAAGCAGGAGTGCTCACCCCTCTTCCAGGCTGTGCTACCCTCCCTGCAGCATCCCAGGGCCCCAGAGGGGTCCTCCTACCACACGAGAGCACAGCCTCACTCACAAAGTTTGAGAAGAGCTGGTCGCTGATGAGTCGATTCACTTTCTGGAACTGGTCCAAGTCTCCACTGCCCTTCTCCGTGCACAGGTCCCACATGCTCGTTGCTGCCAGCGCCTTCATGCAGGCCGACTCCTGCACCAGGGGCATACAGTCAGCACTGCTGCCCAGGAGAAGTGGCCTCCCAGGGCAGCCCAAATTCCCAGAGTCCACCCCTTGACAGGCCAGAGGCACTTCAGGTACACACCATGCAGGCAAGAAAAGCAGTGCATGGCAAGCCCCATGCCCCCAAGGCATCACATCCAGATTGACTCACCCGAACATGCTGCAGATAGAGGGAAAGGTCCCGGATGAAGGACTTGATCAGCCGCTCTTGCATCCGGAAATTTTTCTCTGTCTCCTCAAAGGCTTCATCCTTAAGCTGTGAGAAAAAATGTCTCAAGGGAGGCAAAGCAAGTCTTCAGCACCACCCTGAGTGCAAGATGTGAGGCCTCCTGCCCACAAGCTGGCCAGCAGACAGGTGGTTTAGACCCTAAGCTCACACTGCCTTGCTGGTCTGGATCAGAGCTACTCATTGGGGAAGGGGTGTAGTGGGACAGTGGATACCACCTCCTCTTCAAGCACCTCAGGGCACAAGTGCACCTAGCAGCTGATGCACATTACCTGGGGTGCAAAGCCTGTGAGATGCTTGAGGTGGCTGCTCACACGGTTCGACTTCTTGATGATAGAGTGGATGTTGAGCTTGGAGATCTTCTCCATGAGGCTATCCTCATCCCCTTTCCGGTACTTTAGCACTAAAGAGATTGATGTAGAAATTGGAACCCTTGTCAGCACAATGCCTGTGTCTTACAGTGCCTTTGATGACAACTTCAATACACCCACTCCTACCCCTGACAACCCAGTGCTACCCAACTACTCACCCAAGTCCTTCCGGCGCTTGTATTCGTTGATGTTGACATTGATTTCTTTAACTGCCAGGACAGCAGCTGTGAGTGGTGCCTTGTCAGGGTGAGCTTCAGGGGTAGCACTCAGCAGCTCCATCAGCAGCAGTGGGTACCGCATCACCCTTTGCACTGGCTTGATGAGGAAGGAGCCCAGATTAATGTAGTTTGTGCAGCCCCTGGGAAGTTGGGACAAAGGAGATGCACCAGGCTTCAGTCTAGCTCAGGCAAACAAATTGTGTCCCCTCAAACCAACCCGAACCAGACCCAGAACACCGACACCTCTAAATCTACCATATTCCCTACGTCAATCCACCCTTATCTCCAAACGCACTGCACTCCTGAACCCCTGGTAATCTCAAATCAAGCCCAGATTTCCAGACCTCACAGCATCAGGTGACCCTTGCCAGCCAGTATCCTCTCCATTGCCAGATCCACTGCCAAGTCCCACACAGGCACAGCCTCATGTTTACCAGAGCACCACTTGCTCCAGACTGTCTCACCACCCAAATGCCCAGATCTGTGACTGGTGCAGAACAGACTGTCAGTGCTCAGGACCACAGCCTGCACAGGGCTCTCTTGGCTCCTTGGGGCTGACAGCTCCCAAAATCTGTTTCCTGCCCAAGAACTCCCCTCAACTCATCCCCTGTGCTGCCTGCCTGTGTACTCCACCCAATGCCTCTGCTGTGACCACACCACAGACACCCCGCTTCTCCCAGATGTGCTCCCACAAGATAGTTAGGGCCCCCCAGTATTCTCCCAGCTGGTGGCAGAAGTTTAGTTACAGGGGAGCAGCCAGGCCAAGACAGACAAGTGAAGACCAACAGGAAGGATTCACTTACCACTCACTGTACAGGCTCCTGCCGGCCCAGAGTGCCAAAAAGCAAAGAAAAGCAACTGGTTAATGGGGCAGCAGGTGTGCAATCCCACAGCCAGCACCTTCACCCCAGCCTGCAGTGATGCTGCCAAGGCAGAGGGCAGTCCTGTCTCCCCAGAGCAGCAGCCAGTGCTGCCAGCTCCCAGGGCATTAATCCCCACAATCTGGAGCCCTGGCAGTTGTTGAGACAGGCAAAGTAGTTCCTTTCCTCACTGGCTGCAGTAGGACAGGGCTTGAGGAATAGGAGCTCTCAATTTCGGACATGCCACCTTCTCTGTACTTTGGAGGCTTCTGCTCAAAGTCTGGGAGGGCTACAAGTGTCCCAGCACCTATGCATTGGGGCAGGGGGCCATCTGAACCCAGAGCCTGTTCAACTATGCACTGACGCAGCCAGCCCCACTCCAGTCACCACCTGACCTGTCCAAGCACTGCTTGCAAAGGGGCAGGGATGTTGGAGACTGACTCCCCTGCCCCAGCCTGGTGGCTGCCACTGCCAGAAGCTCCAACCTGAGGCTATCCAGAAGGTCCAGGAGTAGTTTCTGTATCTTCTCATCCTTCTCATAGGTTTCCAGCAGTGCAATGGCCTCATTGTGGTTCTGGCAATACACCTTGTAGACGTTCTCCAGCTCTGCACGCTGTGCCAGAAACACTGGCCCTGCCGACAACAGCAAAGCAGGACTTCAGTGTCTCCAGCTACCTCCAATAATGCTGGTGTGTCTGATGGTAAGATACCCCACGTCCTCTGTACACACACACAGCTCAAGAACACAGCTTTACTAGAGCAACCAGGACGCCCCCTCATTACCCACTAGTACAGAGAACTCAGTAGACCCAGCTCTCCCAGGGGTGGGAAGTGGGGACACTGGTCACTGGAGCACACAAAGAGCAAAGGTACAGGTTGCTCAGGGCCTGAGCAGCAAAAGCTGGCAGCGCAGAAGTGAGGAGTGGGGCTCTCTTCAGGGCCAGGGGCCACAGGCATGATGTCTCTCAGCATAGTAACCCCTGGAGCAAGACAGATCTCCTCAGCTTCGCTGCTGGACTGATGAACAGGGAGGGGGTCCAGCAGGAACAAAGCACAACCCCAAAGACACTGTCCTGCCATTTAAGCTACTCTGTTCTGCCCCACCACTAGCAAACCACGTCCCAGCCTGCTGGGAAAAGGTAAGAGGAGAATTCATACCGATGGCATCTGAAGCCTCCAAGGTAGACAGCAGCTGCTTGGAGAAGCTAATTACCACGTGGATGTTTCCAAAAAGACCCTCAAAGTCTATATTCTGCATCTGTGAAATGGGAAGACAGATGTTCTGGACAGGGGAACACGTCCCAGTCAGACCCAACAGCTCCCCCTTGTCAGACCCAACAGCTCCCCCTTGTCAGACCCAACAGCTCCCCCTTGTCGTCCTGCAACCCATCAGTCCTCAGCTTCACAGCAGCCACATGGTGTGACCTCCTCCCATCACAGTGACTTCTGTACTCAATCCTTCATCCCCAGTACACTGTAACTGTCACTCCTTATCTGTCCCACCACAGTGTCCTCCTTCTTCCCAACAATTTAATCCCTGCCTCTGTTTACCTGTTATTCTCCCTCTCCTCCCACCAACTCTATCCCCACACCAAGACCCCATATTTTCCAGGAAATGAATCTGCCATGTCTCTTGCTCTTAGCAATGGTGAGGGCTCAGCGGGATCCCAAAACAGATGGGCTATTGCTATGAACCTTCCTGCTCCCCTCAGCATAGCTGAATTTCCTCTGTGGGTTCCTGTGCTGCTGCTTAGCCATCTCCAAGAATGAAGTGGACTCGGCATCCTCACCCCATCCCACCAGTGCTGCATTGTAGCTGCCCCCACACTCCTACCTGTGCCTGCTGCAGGGGCACCATGATCCTCTCCACACACATCTCCAGGTCTCTGACATAGTCCCGCTCTGTTTGGAGCAGTTCCTCAATAACCTTGGACCTCTTCTCCAGCATCCTTTGCTCTGGGCTCTCAGTGGCAGCCGAGGATGTCTCCAGGGATGGTGTCTGGGAGGACAGGAGAGTCATCTCTGAAAGACAGAGAAGCAAGATTATCAACCTCCAGCAAGGACACAAGTACAGCAGACAAACAGCATCTGAACTGTGCCACAAGCAACCTGTAAGACTGCCAAACATGACGGTGAGAGAGCAGAACTGTCCGTGAAGGATCCTTCAGGAGAGGCTGTCCCGGGCACTCTCAGGCCCGGGAGATCCCGTTTGCTCCCGCAGCGCCACGAGTGCTGCAACTCCCCGGCATCAGGCACTAAGCAACACAAACCTGGTCCGCACTCACCCCTCAATGCCGGCTGGGTGCAGGTCCCTCTCCTACCCCTGCCCTCCAGCCCCGCTGCTGCGGGAAACTCCGCGGGGCAGGGCAGGCGGGGAGAGGAGCCGGCAATGGCGGCCGCCCCCTCCCCTCAGCCTGGGAACAGGGTCTCCATTCTCCAGCCCCCGGGCATTTCCATCTGAATGGCCGAAAAGGCCTCGGGAACCCACAATGGGGCTGC